TCTCTCCTGGCCCCCTGGCGTGGTCGCGGTCCCCTCCGACCCCACCGTCCCCTCGCGCCGCCGCCATTTCGCGCATCGCCTCCCTCCCCCTGGCCGGTTGCGGCCGCCCTCGGTCCCCGCGCTCGTTCCCGGCTGCAAATGGGGGTTCACGTCGCTGCCACAGCTGTGGTTTTTAAGATGAAGCTTGGCCATGCAGCCTGCTCTGGGTGCCAGTGCCTCCGGGAGCAGCTACGGGTGCGAAGAAATTCTCTTTAGGTCCTCTCCTAGTCCCTGGTCCTCAGACAGTGTTAAAATCGCGGGCTGTCTGAGCAGGATCTCTTAAAAGTGTAAGAGAAAGGCCTATGATAAGCTTTTCAGAGTACCAAAGTTGCTGTGAGTGTCAGTGACTCATATTTGCTCATGTTTGCTTTCCTCACTGATATTGGGAATATATCCGTTTCTAAATCACCTAAATGGCCTTGAAACTAAAAAAAGAATAAGGAAAACAAGCAGATAATTCTGGTAGTGATGATACTGTTTCTGATAGTATAATGTTTTAATTTGTTATGGACAGTTCTTCAAATTTAATAGAGTGCATTTTTTTGTTTGCTTTGTTTTTTGCCTCCATTTCATCAGTTATCACACTGAAGTCTTGTGTTTTCACGATGTTTGGTGTAGGAATATTTTATTGATCAGCTGAGGTCAGAAGGAGTTGTTCACCTCCCTCGACGTGTTACCAATGAAATCACAAATAATATTCGCTATGAAGTTTACACACAAGGTGGAGTCCTCTTTGCAACAAGTCGGATCCTTGTGGTTGATTTCCTCACTGACAGAATTCCTGCAGACCTCATTACTGGTAAGAGCTTAATGAGACAGCTGCTCTATGGATAGTGAAACGTAAGAGGAAGGAAAATAAGAGGTTTTTGACTGTTATCTAGGTGCTAACATCTTGTTGATGCCTGAATATCACTCAATATTGAATGCATGGAAGGAAGTAAATTTTTGATTTAAAAACTGCCTCCCTCTTCTTAGTCATGAGAATAGTCATATGAGAAGTGTTAATCTATAAAATATTTTGAAGGGCTGTATGTATGTAAAGGGACACAATTGTTTTACACTTTTCATATTGCCACTGGAGGTCAGTGTGCCGCTAGAGGTCTTTGGTACAAAGTGCAGCTCCTTCGTTTAAAGCTGTGATCACACTGTATTGTGTAGGAGGTCTGTGTATTGCCAGTGTGTCACATTATATGGAAGTAAAAAAAAAAAAACACAATAAAAACTTGTAATAGTGTTTCTTGAAGAATTACCATGGTAAAAAGAAACTGTTTCTTATGGATTAGATTTTTATGATTATGTATTAGATTATGATTTATGATTAGATTTAGATTATGTATTAGATTTTTTTTAATCACTGTAGAATCATGCATAAATTAACAGTTGATAAACCTGTAAATTGAGCTAACTAAATGTAAAATCTAATATAAATCTAATATAAAATATGATTTCTGTAATACAGAAGAATCATTCCTGGTAATTTTGGCCAGATACAAATCATGGAGTAAATACAATACTTATGATGGTATATGTCAAAAGTACCATTAACACAGTTCTGTTCTGAGGGGATTCCGTGGTCCCCAAAAAGTTTGAGCCACTAAAATTCAATATTTTATAACTTGAAAACTTCTTATTTTGCAAGGCATTTTGGTGTACAAAGCACACAGAATCATTGAATCCTGTCAGGAAGCATTTATCTTGCGACTCTATCGCCAGAAAAACAAGCAAGGCTTCATTAAAGCCTTTACAGATAATGCAGTTGCATTTAATACTGGCTTTTGCCATGTGTAAAGAGGGATGAGGAGAAATCTTTTTGTCAAGAAACTTTATCTGTGGCCGAGGTAAGACACTTTTTTATTTCACTGTCGATAAACCTAGCAAAATTCATTAAGATTTTTCCTAATAAAATGAGCTATATGCAATCACACTGCTAATTTGTGTCTCCCTTGTTACATTCCCAAACAAATTTCGTTCAATTTTTAATAGAAAGAAGTAGTCCCTCTCAAAGATAATGTATTTCTGTAAGTATCTTTGAAAATAGACCCCCAAATATGAGGCTTCACCTACAGTACACGCATCCTATTAGCGAATAGAAATCACACAGAAAGTGATGTTAATGTCTTAAGGAAAGCATCACTTATTAAACAGATAATTTAAGCCGTGAAGTAACAGGAATACAGACTATGAAATCCAACATTCTTGGAAGTGTTTTCTTTTAACTGTGGTGGAGTTCCATAGCTACCTCTTTCTACGTAGAAGGTAGTTTTGTGTGCATGTTTGTTTTAAGTCTTTCTCTAATTTTACACTTTATAGGAAATTGCCAAGTTTGTGGTAGAGGTTCAGACTCTCAGGAGTAAAGCTACAAATGAAACTGGGCACTTTACCTTATTACTCCTTCAGTGCCCCTGCACTGGGCAGCTGGTCTACCTGATTTTTGCTTTAGTCCAGTCTAGAATGTGATTTACTGTGTTTTGTGTACTGTTGTACTGCATTGTCAAGAGTTTAACAGGTTTCCTCTCAGCATTACGAAGAAGCAGAAATGTTGTAACTACCGTTATGGATGAACACAAACTCTGTAAAATTTTCTCCCTGGCTTTTGAGCCATAAATAGACCTGAGAGTGTAGGCTGGGGCAAAGTAACTGCCTGTTCAGTTTCAGGGCTCAGTCTCTTCCCTGTACCTTACTCTGTTAGTAGCATCAGCCATATGTACTTGTACAGACAAATTGGCTGTAGAGGCTGTGTTGTAACAAGGACCTGCTAATAATAAACAAGCTGGGGAATGCCCAGGATCCGCTAGTGGATCCATGGGATTCTAAAGGATTTGTAAATGAATGTGGTTTTCTTCCACAGGAGATATTTTTGTTTGTATGTTGGGATGTGTTATCTCTGATTATGGTGTAGAATCTAGCACAGTAATTCTTCCTGGCTCATTCACCACCACTGTAGGCTTGTATGACTGGAATAAGTACAATCATGGTCTCGGAATAGACACTTTCCTAGGTTTTCCATAAGCACTGTTGCAATCTTTGCCTCTTTATCTAAAGTTTGATTTTTGTATTTAATTTACTTGTGTACATCTAAAGCAATTGTGATCTTATAGGAGCTTTTGAATAATTATGCCATCAAGCAAAACCCTTCAGGTGGAACTTAATATGCTCTTTTTCCCTTTAGATTTCATATAGCTGTTAACTCATTTTTAGAGAAGCATAAACCTGAAGTGGTAGAGATACATGTCTCGATGACTCCTAGTATGCTTGCCATCCAGACTTCTATACTGGATATTTTGAATGCATGTCTGAGAGAACTCAAACGTTATAATCCAGCTCTGGAAGTAGAAGATCTATCTTTAGAAAATGCTATTGGTAAACCTTTTGATAAGGTAACTGTTTTGTTTATTTTGCTGTGTCTAATAATAATGTAAATCGTCTAATTAATTTGTAAAATGAATAAATAACCAGCAGTAACCGAATATTCTTGGATGACATTTATTACTGGTTCAAGGACAGAAACTGTGTTAATTTGTAAATGGTGATGTTATAGCTGCCAGCAGGATTTTTGGCTCATTAATATTCTTCCTTCATTTGCAAAATTGCTGCTTTTCGGACATCTGTTTCAGCATTGGTGCTTCTTAGTGCTGTGATAGTTCAAATAGTTATTGATACTGGTGTAATTTTAAAAACTTCAATGATAGCCTAGCTACACAGTGTATTGTATTTAATTTATAATTACAAATCTCAAATTGAAGCCTGATTACCTTGCTTTGCTATTATGACTATTATTTTATATGATATCATTTGGTTATTTTAATCTAAAAAATGGCTGTCACTTTAACTCAAAATATTTTTAGAGATAAGTGTACAGTAGGTGTTGGTTTGGTTTGGTTGGGTTTTTTTTTCCTCTTAGGTTTTCTGCTCTTACCTTCCTTGTTGGGTCAAGAGCTGCGCATAATATGCAACATACCCTTGCATGCTTTATCCTTGCGACTCTTTATATATGTCATTAATTGTGTGCCTGTTATTATTGGCAGGGTTGCAACATTTTATATGCATGCACTTTTTGTAAGATAAAATCATAAACTTCAGCCATTGTTGTGAACCAGAATTACTTTTTATCCTGATTTAATGGAGAACCACTTCATATGAGGAATTCTGTACTTCACATATGAAGCACATGACACTGTGCTTTGTAGGTTCATCATATTTTGAGTATGAGATGACATTATATTGTTTTCTTCCTGCCATAAATAAAGATGCTAAAGAAAAATACCCAGTGAAAGCATGAATGATACAGATATCTGCTAACTCCAAATATGTTACATTGACTTTTTTTTTTAAAAAAAAGTCGAAGTCAATCGCCTGTAAAGAAAGAAAAAGCGCATTCCTTTTTCCATTACTGTAGCACGTGTTTGTCATCTTGAACTTTACAATTTATTTTTCTAGACAATACGGCACTATTTAGATCCTCTCTGGCATCAGCTTGGAGCTAAGACCAAATCCTTAGTCCAGGATTTGAAGGTACTCCGTACTTTGCTGCAGTATCTAACTCAGTATGATTGTGTCACTTTCCTTAATCTTTTGGAGTCACTGAAAGCAAGCGAAAAAGCCTTTGGTGAAAATTCAGGTAAACATTGAATAACTGTACCAGTTAATGCATGAAAAAGTGAAGTGTTGATATTTTTAATTAACACTCCCAAGCTTATGAAGGCATCTAATTAGGTTTTATATAACTAGCCATAAGGACGTAGGTTTTTATTGACAGATAATGCTTTCATCTTCCCACTTAACTGCTGTTACTTAGCAGTGTGAGATTCACATCACATTTCTGTCTTCTATTAAACTAATAATTACATAGCAAGCAGATAGCACAGCTATTTCACATGAGATGAGAGATTTGGGGCTTCTATTGGAAGGGGTTGAAATGTGTATTGCAAATGTGAAACTGCTTACATTTTATTGCATCCTTAGGGTGGCTGTTTCTTGATTCCAGTACTTCCATGTTTGTAAATGCTCGAGCCAGAGTTTATCGCACTGCAGATGACAGCCTGAATAAAAAAAGAAAAGTTTCTGAAAACAATGATGTGAAGAAAGAAAATGGTACTGATCATTCCTAATTTTAAGTTTGACTTTGAAAGAGTTGCATGATTTTGAATACTCTGCGTATATTTACTTGTGTTATGGTTGCTTATATGTTCTCATAAGACCCCAGTCTGCTAGCTGGAATATTTTGAGACATAACCTCAGTTCAAAGAGTGTACATTTTAAAAAAAAAAAAAAAAAGAAAGAAAAAGTTAAAACAGAGTCACAAGAAGAGATTTTTCTCAGCTTGCACAGTGGTTCATCGAGAGAGCTTTTATGGGATTGTTCTTGAACTACATAGTTTGCAATCTTGATCCTTTCGTTTCTTGTGGAAAGGTAGGAGATTGTCACTTTTATAAACAAAATATTTAAGAGTTTAAGAAGTGAAGAATGATACTATTTTAACTTTTTTATCATTAAGGAATTTATCTCTCTTACAAGTATTTCTATAAAAGTGTTCTACTGCATCAGCACAAGCTGAAAATGTAGACCAATGAACATCGTATTTGCAAACAAACCAGGATGTTATTAACACCTAGCCACTAATTTAAAGTTACAAAGAGTGTTTTGGTTATAGATGGTGCTACATTCAATCTTGCTTTATTTCAGAACTGAAAAGGGAATTGGTTCTGGAAGGTAACCCGAAATGGGAAGCTTTACAGGAAGTATTGAAAGAAATTGAAAATGAGAATAAGAACAGTGAAGATCTTGGTGGTCCAGGTGGGATAATATCAAATGTCATTTCACAATATAGCTCATTTGCTATGTGACCTTTAAGAAAAGAAGCCTAAAAAGGAGCCAGATGCTTTACTACGGTCATATTAACGCGTTAGTTTTAAATATAATAATTCGTGGATTTAAGATAAGGACTTTACCCAAAACTAGCTGCTTGCAAAACTGAAAAAAAGTACGTTTTAAAATATAGCTTTTCCTGAAAGAATACTGGAATTGACTGAACATTGTCACCATTGGTTTCTGCTAATATGTCTGTTTGATGGAACCTGGTTGATTTCTTCTATACCATCCTGTTGCTGTTCCATGTTGCTTTCACCTTGCACACTTGTCTTTTTTTTTTCTTTTTTTCTCCTCCCCCCCCTCCAATCCAATAGTCTGATGGCTGCTGCTGAAGTGCTTGTGTGAGTGTGAGTGCTTGTGTGAGTGTCTCTGAACAGTGTCATGGAGGAGACAAAGTAATGTGCCATAAGTTGGGTATAAAGTTACTATCTCTGAGTAGCTTGATGACGTGAGACTCAAGAACCAGAAGTAGCAGAAGCTGGTCTGTAGACACGGTTTTCCAAACGTAGCGAAGTCTCTTGCGGACAGGTTTTTTTATAGCTATAGCCAAGGAAATTTCCTGCAGACAGGCTAATGAGGTGGTAATGTTTCCTCCTTTTAATTTTCTTCAATTTAGTTGAAGTTCTAGAAAAACATAAAAAATCCAAACCCCAAACAGTCTTCACCTTCACAAGAAAATTAGTCAGCTTTTATCCATTATGCAGAAGGCTTTTCGTGGGCATCGTAATTTAGTTTTTAAGAATTTGACACGTGGGCTCCGTGGGGGTTAGGATGTGGTAGGTCTGGATTTAGGAATAGCTGCTTGCATTCAAATTCCTATGCTAAACTGTGAACTGCAGCCACTTCCAGGTTGATACATTTACCTTTCCCCTTGCCCTTATAGTTGAAACAGGATAGAAAGAGACAATTACCTGCTCAGTATATTCCAGTAGGAATCAGGAGATGTCTTTTGCTGTGGTCTTTGTTTTAACAATGTTGCAATGTGTATACCTTCCAGCCTTATAGAGCAAGTAACATAGAAACAGAAATGCTTTGTGTCTGTGGGAGCTGTTTAGCTCTGTAACGTAGTCATTCCTCAACTGTCCAGGCAAGCATTGCTTCTTTCCATTGAATGAGGGAGAAGAAGCAGGGGCTAGAAGAACAGTAATCACTCACTTCTCAAAGTCAGGATGTTATAAAGTGCATGTTCTGTCTTATACCATTTCATACACTCCTCATCTGCACCTGAAAAGCTGCACTCATTCTCCAGGAGGTGCAGTTCCTAGGATACAGAATAAAAGGCAAGTGTGTTTCTAACTACCTGCTCTGCTGCCTTTCTTATTTTAGGTCTTTTCATCCCCTTACATTTCACCAAGTTTTATTTTGGGAAATAGTAGGGGCAAAAAAGTGTTCTTTTCTGCTACCCACGGTGTTCTGACTGTGGATAAGAACTGGCTCTCTCACCTAGTGCTGTAGGAGTTTATCTGAGTCAGCTTATGGAGAATTGTTATTCCAGGCTCATAAACGTCAATGATGCTGTGTGAAATGTGTTTTCTTGAAGTACTTTTAGACTCCTTAATGCAGCTCACAGGGTGAAAATTAGAACAGGCTCTAACTTCTGTCTTATTCTGTAATTTTAAAAAATGTTGTCCAAATATTTGTTATAATACATGCTATAACTGCCTGTTTCAAATGGTCAGAAAGAAAACATTGCTGATTTAGATGGTATAAGAATAAGGAATGAGGAATTGCATTAATCTTAACCTTCGATAAACTTGTGCTACAAAACATCGTACAACTTGACTGTCCCCAGAAGTCCAGAGCAACTGCAGCTACCAAGTGTAAAGGCATTTGATCAGTGCACTTATAGGATCAAATTTGCTGGAGAGATTTCTTGTATCTGATTTTTTTTAAAAAAAAAAAAAGTACAGTGCAATAGATTATAAACATAATATTGTTTCTTAACTACAGGACAAGTGCTTATTTGTGCCAGTGATGACCGAGCTTGTGCACAGCTCAAGGAATATATTACTGTTGGAGCAGAAGCTTTTTTAATGAGGCTGTATAAGAAAACCTTTGGAAAAGATGAGAAGGCTGCTGAAGTGTGGAATAAGGATAGAAAATCTGCCAAGGCCAAAGGAAGTGCCAGAGCAGACACAGGACCTCAAGCCAAAAAAGCCAAACTCAAGGCTTCTTCAAAAGAAAATAAAAACAAGAAGCAACAAGACTGGACTTTAACCCAAATGATAGGGAAAACTGAGGAGGAAAATGGAGAGGAGTTGGAGGTGGAAGTACACCAAGAATTAAGCAATAACCAAGAAAGCAATACTGAGGAGACTATTACTGAAGATTTCCATATTAATCTACCCTCAGATTCTTACTACGGTATCTTCAAAACACCTCTCACTATTATTCATCCCTTGCAGGGTTGCAGTGATCCCTATGCACTCACTCGGGTACTGCAAGAAGTGGAACCCAGATATGTTGTATTATATGACGCAGAACTAAGTTTTGTTCGGCAGCTGGAGATCTACAAGGCAAGCAGGCCTGGAAAGCCCTTGAGGCAAGTTAAGTGGGTGATAACTGGGAATGTTGTTGGTCTAATTTTAGCATTAAAAGCAAAGAAAAAAAAAAAGGCACTTTTGGCAGTTAACCCAGAACATGCTTCTAATGATTTTAACTGCTTTTAATTCCCTTTTAGCCCTCTTAATTTTAAACAAAAGCATACTGCATAATTTATCCTAAAAGATAGCTTTACTTTCTATTAAAAGAAAAATACCAGCAGTAATGTGTTCATGCCATCTTCTACAAGACCTTTGCTTAGATAAACTTACTGGCAATCCATCTTGGAATTTGCTCTATTCTCATTTAAAACAATATCTTCAGGTATGAATTTTACACAGTAAGGCTAGAGCAGACATGGCAGACTCTCAAAAGTATATTGCATAAGGGTAGTTACTGAACTTTATACAGTTTATTTTTAATTGGCTCATCAGCATGTATTGTAACCATCTCATCATATGCCAAAACCCCTGCTGGAGAACAGGAAAATAAAATGTAGTAAATGTAAAATGCAGGTAGGGGCTAAGAAAATAAACGGAATAAAATCCTATCAGTCTGTCAATATATACCTCAATTTAAAAAAAAAAAAAAAAGTGCTGAAAACCTGTAGGCAATTAATGCTTGAAGATAGTTATTAATTCTCATATGTTCCATATGAGTCCACACTAGTAGAATAAAATTTAGTATATCTATGTGTATATACTTGTGTACCAGATGACAGCTTGTTCTGTCTAGGACCTGTGTAGGATTCCTTTGTATAAATAAATTGTTCTAAATCTTAAGTGGTGTTTTTTCCTAACCTAAGATGTTTACATATTTTAGTTTGCTATGTATCATGGATACATTCTTACGGAAAGATTTTAATGGCAATAAGAATGTGGTCTTTGTGTTACTTGCTTCTTGTCTTTTTTGAATGGAGTCACTCAATCCTGAGTAAAGGAGTGTGTCGTCCCCTCTGGTAGAAGCACAGAATTTCAGAAAGCATATCTGCTTTTGAGAAAGAAAAAAATGATATAAGTATTTTGAATTTGAAACAGGTTTACAGAAAAAAATGCAATGGAATACCTGGTTTTCCTCTTCTTCTTAACTTCTTGGTCATGCTGATAATACTCTTAAATGCCAATTTTTGTTGTTGTTGTTTCAATGGTTTAATTTTATATTAAGCTTTGTGGGTTTTTTTTCTTTCTTTCTTTGTCGAACCTATAGGGTTTATTTCCTCATTTATGGGGGTTCAACAGAAGAACAGCGCTATCTCACAGCTCTGAGAAAGGAAAAGGAGGCTTTTGAGAAACTCATTCGGTAAACAAAAAAGTTCACTCTTTTTGCTATTTACCTGTTTCATCTATTTCTTTCATGTTCACATTTTAAACAGTGAAGTTCTTATTATGTGAAAAGTTTGTATAAACTTCCAGCTCGGTTGCTTTTCAGAAGTTTGAGTTGCCCAATCAAAAATCAATGAGAAATCAAAACCATACTTTTTTTTTTCTTTCTCTCTTTAATGAAATTTCAAAGGCTACCCAGTACCACTGGTAACTTTCTAACTGTCTAACAATTTCATATGAAAAATGCTACACCTGCAGATAGCATTGCTTATAAGGTATTTATAAGGTTTTTCATGATTTAATTAGTTTTAAGGTCAAAACACTGAATTTTCTTGGACTGACTGGACTGGACTTGGACTGACAAATGCTGACTGTTTGCTTGGACTACATCGGGTAGTATTCTTATTGACCATGTCTTCTCACCAGATTATGCTCCTATGACTAGTCACTAGTTCCTTAGTTTGCCCTCTGTATGGAATCTATATAGTATCTAGCCCTAACAATCTGAAAAATCTAGTAATTTGCATTTTTTATCAGATTTGCAGTCAGTGTTAAACGTTGTAATTTTACATCTGACTAAATGGTTTAAAAATATTTGTTAGATTTCTACATTTTAGGTTTTTTGTTGTTGTTTCTTAGAGAGAAGGCCAGCATGGTGATCCCTGAAGAGAGGGAAGGAAGAGATGAAACAAACTTGGACCTAGTAAGAGATGCCACTCCTGCATCCTTTTCCACTGACACACGCAAAGCAGGTCAGCAGTTCCTGAAGTTAGATCTGAGCTGTGGGACAGGCCTATGGTTGGTCTTCCTGTGTTTAAATTGTATCCAAAGATAGGATAAGAAAAATGATGTCCCATATGGCATCTCTGTTGCCTTTCTCTCCATTAACAACAAATTATGATTTTCTTTGAAAATAAAGTATAGGTTAATGAGGTATTTTATCACTAAGACAGCTATTACTTGAATTATTTCTAGGCAGCCTGTTGACTACAAGGCTGAATAGTAGGGCTTGCAGTGAGCTGTGAAGAACTTAAAACAGAGGTCTGCAGATAGTCAATAGAATTGTTGTCCTCAAGTCTGTAAATATTGTGGCTTTTGATTTTTGCAAGAGGTCCGCATAATCAGCTGGATTGTGGGTTTTGTCTGCATTCTTTGCAATAAACATTTTCCTTTGCTGCAGCTCGTAACTGTTTTTTTCTGGTGGTGGTCTACCTTTTCTGACATGTATACTCTCTCTTCATCTTAACATTTGTGCCCCTGTTTTTCTTAGCTGACATTTTTATCATCCTGCTCTCCTTCACTGAGTAGTCCCTAATGTTTGCCATTAGATCTTTTGTCACTCTATGCTGCAAGCTCTTCCTATGTCCTTTCACAGATTTGAAGAGGGTAAAACATCTACTACAATGAAAAGCCATATTGCTGTAAGAAAGAGCTGGATTTTACAAGGAGCAGTTCCATTATCATGTTTTGTGGACAGCCTTTAAACACATTTTCTTGATGATTCTAAATACTTCTCGGTTACAGTCTGACATTGTCAGCTCCTTGTCAGGCACACAGGGCTGATAGTAGGTGTGCATGATTGTTCTGTTAAACTGCAGAGACTACTCATGGTGTGTATTTTGGTAACTAGAACAGTAAAAAAATAAATGAAGTCTGGGTTTATGGTACTGCTGAAATTGAGGTATAATTTGAGAAATGAAATTTGACCATTATGGCAACACTCAGGAAAAATACACGACCAGAGTCAGAGGTATAGATTGACTATATTTATTTTGATTTTTAGGTGGACAAGAACAGAAGAGTGTTCAGCAAACTATAATAGTGGATATGCGGGAATTTCGTAGTGAGCTTCCCTCACTACTTCATCGTCGTGGCATTGACATTGAGCCAGTTACTTTGGAAGTTGGAGATTACATTTTAACTCCTGATATTTGTGTAGAGCGGAAAAGTATCAGTGATCTTATTGGTTCCCTAAATAATGGAAGACTGTACACACAGTGCATTTCTATGTCCCGTTACTATAAGCGACCAATTCTCCTGATTGAATTTGATCCTAACAAATCTTTCTCCTTGATTCCACGAGGCTCTCTGCATCAGGAGATTTCCAGTAACGATGTTACTTCTAAACTAACCCTACTTACACTCCATTTCCCTAAGCTGCGCATCCTGTGGTGTCCCTCTCCTCATGCTACTGCTGAACTGTTTGAAGAATTAAAACAAAACCATCCACAACCTGACGCAGAAACAGCAATGGCTGTCACAGCAGATTCTGAAGCCCTCCCGGAGTCAGACAAGTATAATCCCGGTCCTCAGGACTTCCTGTTAAAAATGCCAGGTGTTAACACAAAAAACTGCCGTGTCTTAATGAACCACGTTAAAAACATTGCAGAGCTCGTGACGCTGTCAAAGGACAAACTTTGCGAAATTCTAGGTAATTCTATCAATGCCACACAACTCTTCGACTTTATTCACATGACCTACAGCGAAGCAATATCTCAAGGGAAAAACAAAAGATGACTAATGGGGATCGTCCAACATAAGCCATAGAAAAGCATTTTTGCACAATACTTTGGCAAAGTACATAAAATATTATAATAAATGCCTTCTGAGGTAACCAGCTATTTCCTACTATAATACTTTTCCATCAGTTTTAATACTTGGGTTAATGTTAACAAGGCAAGTTTCATGAGGAGAAGATAAATTGTTTTTAATGGAGAAATGCATATGACTTGTATTCCTCCTACAGCACTTTAACAAATTCTATAGCAACATTGAATACACTCAATCCAGTTCCTCATGAAGCCCATTAGGATAAAGTGCTAAGACTAATTGATCAGAGTGTTTTCTGTAGAGACATCATATGTCTTATTAAAGCTGAAAATGCTCAACATTAGATTAAGGTGTGACCTTCTGCTCTGCTCTTGCTATATCTTGCTTGTTTTTATTAGTGTTATTTTCTGGAAACTGCCAACTTCCAGTTAACAGTGATGAGCCTGTTTGAAATGTAGCATGACCTTTCGCAAGGAGGTAGTTTAGAAGAATGTACTTGGAGTCAATTTTGTGAGTTTTAGAATATCATCACAAACTGCAATTGGAGGGCTATGTTCTGTGTTGTGTTTGTTTACTTCACTAGTGGTAGTTGTATTTTTGATGTTCTAGAGTCAGTAGATCTCTGTCTTGGTAGATTTTGCAAAGTGCATTCCTTTGGTCTAAACTGAATGGAGACTCTGCATTAGCATAGTACAGCTTAATCTCACAGTGCCTTGTTTATCCTTCTGAAATATTTTTGAAACAGATATGATACCTCTTTTCACTGCACTTACTTGAAAGTGAAAATCTAGATATACCATTGGAACTATTCTTTTTATATTAGAGCGTATTTTCTTTCATAGAAGTTTTCTCTCATAGAAGATTACTTTTTACAAAAAAAAAGTTTTTCCACAAGTATGAACTGTTCTTACAATCTTGCCTTCTTTCTGTGTCCCATTGTACTTGTATTTTAATGCCTTTATAGATAGACCATTTGTTTGTAAGTTCAGTAAAACTATTGTAACCCAGAAGATAACATTTAGCATTTTTTTAGCCTAGAATGAAGAAAAAAATCTATTCATTTTTGATAGTTTGTGAAAATGTATTTATTGTTAAAAGCATTTGTATTCTACACCAAATTTTAGTAACAGCTACATACAAGCTGCCTTTGCCAAAATTGGTCCTGTATCCAATCATGTTAATGTATTTAAAATATAAAATATATATTTAGAAAATCTGTAGTATAAGTGTATCAGTGTATATGTGTGTGTGCAAGTTGAGATTAATTTCTAATGCTAACAACAGATCTATGCGAAAGTACTAATTTTCTGTATTTGAATTCAAGAAAACCATTGTGTACTAAGTTTTAATATTTAAGTGTGAATAAATGGATTATGAATTTGTTTAAAGTATGAGATTCTGGTAATGAGCATTATTCTGCAGATACAAATATCAACATTAAATACATCTCTAACAATCTTTAACATTATTGTCATTGGGCATGTATCTTGTTCCTCATTTCACTATATTGCTATCAGGAAAGTCTTGTTTCTGGTGTAAAATTTATAATTCAGAGTTTAAGGGTTTTACTGCTTTTTATTATAATAATTTATTTCAATATAAGAGGAAGCCTTACCATGAAGCTTTCACTTATGGAAAGCAGTAAGGTCAAAAATGCTTTTCTCAATAATATCTGTAAAATGGTGAGAAAATGAAGATTCCTGTGTTTTTTCCTTAGGTAAAGAACACAGCTGTCCTGAATGCATTTTCTATAGAGACTGTTTCAGAAAAGGAGAGCTAAACAGCCTTCCAAAACATGTGATGCTTATACATTTACAGCATTAAAAAAAGCACATGAGCTGTGTGTCAGTTTGTGAGCTTGATTTTTGTCTGAGATTTGGATAAGGTAAAAATGAAGAGTATATGAAGGTAATATGGTTGCAGCTTCATGTTGTGCCCTAGGTAAGTCATACAATGTAATTAAAGAAGTAATACATGCTAAATATTTGGATTATGTTTCTTTTTCTTGATGTATGTGAATCTAATTAAGGGTTAGTTTCATGCAGAAAAATGAACCTGCATGAATATATACAGAAGGGCTTTTCAGGTACAACTGTATTCATCAAACATGAGATGCTCAGATTTATGCCTGCCAAGCTTAATGGCAAACCAGTTGAAAAGAAATCCAAATTGCTTATAAAATTTGCAACCAGGCTTTAGAATGACAGTGACTTTTGTGATACAGGACCAAAGTGTGAGTGGGAGGATTTTTGTCTGTGAGGCATTCTCCTTTGTAGAGTAATAGCACAAACTCAGGTAACTTGCATATTAAAAATATTTCTCTCTAAATTCAACATAGAGTTCCATCTATATGACCCTAAAATAGAATCAAAAAGCAAGTATTCCCCAGTAAATATTTATTAAATTAATACCTTATTAATGCGCCAAACAACAAACAGAAAGGTAATTGAGGATTGTTATAGAAACTTTTTATGCATTGGCTTGCTAATTAATAATTGTTATTTCAAGCTCCATAAACTGGATATTAGCAAGGTTGCAATCCTTTTATAAGTTGCATTAAATGCTCTTGTGGAAAGAAATTCTCCTTAGGTCTTACTCAGAGATGGTCTAAAGTAAAACTCCATTGTTCTCATTTCTATAATACACAGTTTTAAGAAATAAAAGTAGGATGATAAACAGAAAAGTTCAGGTATTACAGCTCCGAGATTTTGTAGTACTTCTTACCAGAACCTGTTCCATTTTTCTGGATAACAGCAAAAATTTTGGCTATTTAAAAAATCAAATTAAAAATCAAATCAAGCTTTTTTTTTTTTTCTTCCAAATTAAATCCTTAGTATTTATTTAACATCTTACATTAAAAATTTAATTATTGACCATATGCACACTAGTATTTTTCATAATCTGATTATGCTTTTCTCCACTTTTTCATTTATTTTCAATAATTCTTTTTAAAAATCTCTATTTTGAGCAATATTCCTATCATCCTTTTCTTGATTAGTTAGTGACCTAACCAAGAATATGTAATTGATACTTACGCTTGTCAACACTTCCAATTTCTACTATTTTTTTTATTTCAAATTTCCTCTAATTTCAGCTTGCAATCATGAGATTTTTCTTCAGGAGGAGGAGGAAGACAAACCGAACAGTTTATCAGTTAAAAATGGTGCTAACAGTAAGTTTTTTAAAGCTAATAAAGTTAGATATATCATTTGTAACTTCTAATTGCTTTTGTCTGCTTTTAAGCCAAGATTCAAGTTTTAAAATATATAAATCTGAAAGCTGGCATGATACAGATAAAAGAATAGCAAAAACTCTAAAAACTGGCAGCAGAAAGACTGCCTTCAAAGCAATAGCTTGTTTATTTATTTAATTTCCTGGCCACTGAAACAGGGAGGAGGTAGCATCTTGGTGAAATTTAAGCTAGAATCTGGTTAAGTGATAATTCAACGCCTAATGTTCTCTCTTTGACTTCAACTGATGAAATCGTAACATTTGATCTGCTCATTTCTTAGCTTCAGCTTCCATTAAAACAAAGGAAACGGATATTATGATGACTAATAAACACTAACTCTTTGCTTCTCCCATTAAGCTAACACAACCAATTTTATGTGTGCACAAGAAAGCTCAGAAAACCTGATACTAAGTAAAAAGGGACTATGAGAGATTTTCTAGAAAACACACTCTTTAGCACTTCTGTCTTCTATTTTATTTGCTTTCTTGGAATCAACTACTAGTGTGTACAAAAAAAAATACACATATATTCCATAGTTAAAGAAGAGAGGGACAGAGACTTAACCTATGGCTAAAATTTTCAATAAGATACAAGAAAATAGGCAAGTGGGCTTTATAGCTTGGATACCATTTTTTATTTTGAGTACAAAAGTTACAAGTTCATATCCTAGACTTGTTAACATATGCAGGATAGTTGTTTTGACTCCACTTTTTATCTGTATTTTACAAGCTTTTCTGCAATACATTTAAAAGGTAAAAATGTTCTTAGCAACAGACTTGAAAACATGGAAGAAAGTTCAATAGTTTGTCTAGGCAATACTTTGCTAAGAGAAAAGTTCTTCAGCTTTACTGGCTTTAGGAAGGGTAACCACGGTGCTGCACTGCTATGGTGACTTCTTGTTGTCTAAACAGAAAATGTTTCTGCAATATATCAAAACGAACTGTACATGCACTAATTTTAGTGTGATTTTAGGACACAGCAAAGTTTATTTTTTAATCTTAATTTACAAGTGCTATAAGGCAGTATTCCTAAGAATCTAACTGTGGTTAAATGGATAGTGGGGTTTGTTTGTTGGTTTGATTTTCTTTAAGAGACCACAGTTCTGCTTGTAGGAGCTCCCATCCATAAAGAAAAAGCTAGATTCTGAATTTCCTTGAACACTGAAGCCTCCTACATAGCTCTTCTAGTTGCCGAGACGCGCTGTGTTCCTGCCTCCGTGTCCGGCCGATGTGGTAAGATCTGCCAGTCCTGTCACCCTGCATCGAGGTGGTCAGACCGGAGTCGCCGTCTTCTCCAGCTCTCCGAGTGGGCTGGTGATTGCAGATCGACCTCAGCAATGATTTGGGTTTCCTAGGAACATTTTTCACTTAAGTGAACAGTGAGAACACTTGGTTTAAAGACTGAAGATGTGTTTCTATATATGTGTAGATGTGTTTCTATATATAAAACTGTTTGTTTAATTGGTGGACTGCCCCAAGAATAAATAATGAGGTAATTCTGAAGATCATTCCCAGAACAGGCAGCTAGGATTGTTTCTGCGACTTAGCGGTATCTCCTCTCCTTTGTTTTTCAAATGGTGTCTTTGCTAGAAGGTGAGCAACCTTTTGTCTAAATGCAATTTTACCAACAGTACAGTATTTCAAGAGTGAAACACTCTGCCCATAAATGGGTTTTTGGAGTGTTTATTTATTGACTGTTGCAATTCTTAAAACCTTAAATCTTAAAACTGGATTAA